GCCAGCAGGCATATTTTCCGTGTTCCTCTACGGCTTTCCTCCTGGTTTATCTGCAGTTGTCTGAAGTGCTTGTCCAAAAAGAGAATGCTGAAGGCTGAGGACTTAATAGAGGCATTGTCTCCAGCAACCAAGGTGCTCCCTGTGCAAGAAGCCTTGCTGTCCCCATTGGGGAGGAAAGGAGACCCATTCCCACACTGACTCTGCTCCGCGGTGCGGCCCTGGGCCCATCAGCTCCGAGCTGGCTCGCTCTGCCCTTCTGCAAGGCGAGCGTTTGGTTAGGTGAGGGCTGGAGGCCTGGGAATGTCTCCCCTGAACCCTGTAACAAAGAGCCCCTGAAATCAGGGACCCCCACCCGTCCAAGGCCCGCCCCTCGCAGCCCCACCCCTTGTGGCCCTGCCAGCCCCATGGCTCCTCCCTCCTCTGCCCTTCACTTCCTTAAGTTCTGGGGGATGTGTTTGTGGCCCAGCTTTGGGGGCGTCATTTACCCGCTACTATTGACCGGCTGGGACTCAGTCCGCGTCACACCGCGCTGCTGGGGAGGCTGCAATCCGGCCGTATGCCCGGGGAAAAAGGGAACGGTTTGGTGAATACCCAGCCTGCCTCGGCGGCCAGAACCTTCTCAAGCTCAAGTGTTCCTGAGGGGAGGCCAGGGGAGGCCCCTGGTGGAGGGGCCCGGGAGCAGGGCCTTGAGGAGCAGTGGCAGAGCTGGGGGTGGGTGCCGGAGAGGAGGCAGCAGGGGCCCAGCGCAGACGGCATAGCGGCCACGGACGGCAGCAGACACCGCCAGCAGCACGGAGCCCTCAGGTGCCCTGGCACCCAGCAGCCTCCGTTCTGAGGCTGGCTCTGTCCCAAACTCAGCCTCTGAGCTGGAGCAGCCTTGTCAGCTGTGCTCTGGGCTGCTGCGGTGGCCCGCGTTCGTGGGCACTTTCTCTGTCCGGGCTTGGACCTCGGCCATGCCCCACACACATCTCCTCCTCCCCACAGACCAGCCCCTGGCGGGGCTGCGTCATCCCGCTCTCAGGCAGGGAGCAGAAGCTCCGGCTCCCACAGGGCCCCCCCTGGCCGTGCAGTGGGTGCCTGTGCGGCTGAGAACCCTGGCCTGGTGGAGGTGGAGCGCGGCCGGGGGTGGCGGTAGGGGGGTGGGACGCGGGCGGCTTCCTGCTGCTGAAGGCTGGGGCTCACCACGGTCCACAGGCAGCCACGGGCCCTGCCGAGGCGCAGCCCGGAGGCCGGCCCTCGCCGCCCTGCCAGCTCGCCCCACCCTCCCCTGGGCCCCCCACCCAGGGCCCCTCTACCCAGGGCCCCGGTCCCCGGACTCCCCATGCCAGGGCCAGCTCGGGGTGGACCTGCTGGCAAGCTGGAGCCTCTCCATACAGAACCCCAGGCGGCACAGCCTCCTCTCCAGCTCGCCTTAATGTAATTCCCTTTAATCTTTAATGAAAAGTTGTAAAAGTAAATTATTGACCCAGGAGAGCCAGGCGGCTCCTCTGGGGCCCTCCTTAACTTGAGGGCGGTCACACGCGTGGGGCTCAAGCAGCTCCCTCGCGTCCCCCACCGCGATGGTGAGGAAGAGGCGTTCTGGTTCCCGCACTGAGGAGCTGCTCGTCAGTGCCCTGTGCGCGCGGGCGGGCGTCGGGCGGACGCAGAGCTGAGCTCTGCCTGTCGGGGCGCACACCCCGCCCGCTGCCGAGGGGGCTGGCCCGGGGGCTGGGCCGAGCCGGCGGGCAGCGCCGCAGCCCCTGGCAGTTGCGGGGCGGCCTCCGCCCTGCCTGTCGTGCTCAGGCTCGCCTGACAGAGGCCCCCTTCCCAGCGCTGCAGGGGCTCAAAGGGAGGGCGAGGGGCGAGGGAGACGGGGAGGGGCCACCCCCAGGCTGCGCGCCGCCTCTTTGCCTTAAGGCCCCCCTCGCTCGGAACACCATCACCCCATCTCCCGGACACTGCCCCGCTTCTGACGACCTGTTTAGACTCTCTCAGCACACAGCAAAGGAGCCCAATAAAATGGGAAGCACCTGACCTCAGGGAAGCCCTATTGGCGTCAGTGGTCAAGACCTGTGGGCTTGGGCATGTAGGAGCCCCTGTGTGTGTGCTTGCGTGCGTGTTGGGGGTGGGGGACCAAAGTGTGGCTGCTGGGGACTCGAGAGTGAGGTGCTTTCCGCCCTGAGCTGCCTCACAGCCAAGAAGAAACGCTTGGTGACTGACTCTCACCGGTAAAGAGAAGAAGCTGTGTTGGCCGAGCTGCGAGCAGCTCTCTGCCTTGGCATTGGAAGCAGCTCGCGGCCCTGGGCTGGGCCGTCGGAAATCGCGGCGCTCCGCACCAGATCCGCCGGTGCCGCTTCCCGCGGTGACCCCTGCTGTCTCTCCTCCACTTGAACTTCTCTGGCTTCACCTAAGGCGTGACTGAGCTGCTAGGTGAGCTCCCGGGCCCAGCCTGGCTGGAATCACATTTGGCTGTGAAGTTCAGGCTCCCTGCCCGGGACGAACATGGCTGGGAGACGTGTGCACCTGCGGGAACGTGAGCCGAGCTCGCCTCGCTGCTCACCTCAGGCATCCCCTCTGTGTTGTTCCTAGGCTTTAACATTTTTTTAATCTAAAGTGAGACCTTTGCACCTAAAGTCTGCTTAGCCGTCCCGCTTCTTGTCGCCACCGAAGGCTGGGAAAGGGCAGGCGGGCGGGCGTCTCCACGGGGCTGGAACTCTGGGGAGAGCACCTCCCCCGCCCAGCCTTGGGTGCTGGGCGCTAAGGAGCAGGTGAACAGACTGTCAGGTCAGCCGCGCGAGGAACCCACAGCCCGTTCCTCTTTGTCTCGGAAAAGCGGTCTGCGCGGGCCTCGGGGCCTGCTGGCACCTCAGAGGTTTCCTTCAACCGCTCAGGGAACCCGCGAGGGGGGTCTCGCCCTGGCTTCACGCCTCCCCGACACCACCCCTCTCCTGTGCCGGGGCGGCCACAGTGCCAGCCAGTGCTCCAGGAGCGCGGGAAGCGTGCCTGAGCGTGCGGCGGGGAGGGGCCTGGGAGTCCCGAGTCAGGACAGCCTGTCCACTGGGCTTGCTCCCCGCCTTCTCGGGGCTCCTCCTATGGTGAGGACCTCTGCGTGCGACACCAGAGGCAGACGCTGAGGACTGCGCCTGGGAGGAAGCAGCCTCTGCTCGTGGGCTCCGGCAGTGTCAGGCGCAGCCCCTTCCCGTGCCCTCCGGGAGCCCCACTGGGAGGAAGGGCTTCTCCACCCCCCGCCTTCCCCCGCCAGCCTCTCTGCCAGCCTTCTCCCAGCTGTGGCTGCCCTTGGCCTCAAGGCAGGCCGGCCCCAGGGCTCCCTTTCTCCTGGGACCCGGCCCCCCCGCTCCTTCCAGCGGTGGCACCGCCACCGCAGGAGGCGTTCTGGGCCGGACAGAGTGGAGTCCGTGTCGCCGGCCCGTGTCAAAAGTGAAGGAGAATGGGGGCTGGGAGCTGGGGGCAGAAGGTGGACCAGGGCCCAACTTAAGGATTTCGGGGAGAGACTAATCTGCTCCTGGGAGATTTTTTGCATGAGATTCTCCTGTGTGAACAGTCTCCTCCACGGAGGCTTGCACGTTTGTGGGACCCAGAGCCGGGAAGTGGTAGGTTAGCCCTAGTGGCCTACACCTCCTGCCACAGGCAGGGCCACGGGCCCAAAGGAGGTGGGCGCAGGCCCCAGAGCCTGCCCGCCCGCTCCCCCGCCCACTCCTCACACACTCACACACTCAAACTCACTAACACTCACTCACATGCTAACACACTCACTCAATCGTTCATTTGTTCATTCACTCCTTCATCTGTTCCCCTCCAACAAGCGCAGCCTAGAACGAGAGTCCGCCTGGCCTGAGGCTTCCCGGGGAGGAGACATAGGTGGTCAATAGTTAAACAGGCAGGTAAATGCGGCCACTCCCCTTGAGGCCTTCTGAGGCTCGGGAAAACAACGGGCATGGGAGGGAGCCCCGGGGTCTTCCATCCGGAAGCCAGGGGTCTGGGTGTCCAGGCCACGGTCCTCCCGGATGCGGGAGGCCCCGTTCCGCGCGCTCAGCTGCAGAGGGCTGCGCGCCTTGCCCTGCCCTGCCCGCCCCCTTCAGAGCAGGCCCTCCTCCCGCCTCTACCTGTTCCACGGCTGCGTGGCCTTCAGCCGCGCCCTCGCCCACTCTCCCCGTTAGAACCTCTGTCCTTGTGCCGGTCCCATTGTCTCCCCTCAGACCCGCGAAGTCCCTTTTACCGTGGGAGGGGCCGTCCAAGCACACACACTGCCCAGGCGTGGCTGTGTGAGGTTACGGCTTGTGTCTGTACTGGGACCTCGTGTGGCCTTTGTAAATGTCTCACAACGTGATCAGCATGTGGGACACGCTCAGGTTCCTGGTCTCCGAGGGCAGAGCTGGGACCCGCACCTCGACCACCATGGCCATGTCCACAGTTGAGGGCGGTGAGATCCAAGGGGACAGTCACGGCGGTGGCTGTGGGGGCGGGGCTGGGGTTATGTGGGATTTTTAAAAAACTTTTCACTTTTGTAAGCTTTCCAAAGAACTTACAATGTGCTCTAAAAGCTTACGATTTTGAAGATACGGGGAAAGACTTGACCTTAAAGGTCTTTCCTGGAAAAGTGGTTTTGGAGGGGAAAGGGGTGGGGTCTCACCTGCAGATACACCCCGCCCCCACTGCCACTGCCACTAGCAGTGTGTGTGACGGGGGCCCAGCCGGGTGTCCATCCACTCGTCATCCTGGGGGACTGCGGCCGAGCCCAGGCCTTCCAGGCGGGAGGGCCCCCACCAGCCCCAGGCCCTCTCGCCCTCCCCTGTGGCACCTGTCCCAGCCAGCCCGCACGTCAGGAGAGCAGGGGCTGGGCCACACGTCTGTCCCCAGCACCCGGCCTGGCACAGAGGGGGCGGCAGCCATGGTGGATGAAGGGCCGAAGGAATGAACACACGAATGAACGGACAGATGGACGCGTCGGGGAGGCCGCCCGCGCAGTCCCCTGACCGCCTCGTGTCCCGTGTGCTTTGCAGATGTGCTGGTGGATGGACAGCCGTGTGACTGCGAGGCGGCAGCCTGCCGGGTCGGTGACCCCATACGCCTGGAGGTGCGGCTGACCAACCGCAGCCCGCGCAGCGTGGGGCCCTTCGCGCTCACCGTAGTCCCCTACCAGGACCACCAGAACGGCGTACACAACTACGACCTGCGCAGCGCCGTCTCCTTCGTGGGCTCCAGCACCTTCTACCTGGACGCGGTGCGTGGCAGCCTGGGGTCCCCTGTCCCCAGCTCTCTGCGCTGACCCTGGGGCAGCTCCTCCTCTGCATCCCGATCCTGGGAGGGACACCGGGGTGGCCAGAGCAGCCGCGAAGAGTGTTCAGGAGGCATGGCGAGTGGAGGGCCCAGGACAGCTGAGCCCCTGCCGGTGCCACCTCCCTGCCGGTGCCACCTCCCTGCTGAGTGGCCACCGCAGGGCCCAGAGGGACTGATGGAGTCACAGAGCCCGCCCTGGCCCCCACCTCCCAGCCACAGGGCACGGCCCTCAGGCCCCGCCCACCGTGGAAGGGCACCTTCCCCCCAGCCACCCCCACACCACCTGAACCCCGAACAGCCCGGGGAGGGAAGTGCTGCGAGCGACTCCCACAGACAGAAGCCGGGGCTCAGAGGGGCCGCGAGCTGCGGGGGCGGCACAGCTAGCCAGGCCTGAGCGCCCGCCCCGCCCCGCCCCGCCCCTGCAGCCGCAAGTCCGCGCAGGTCCCGGGCCTCCCACGGCCTTGGGGCCCCACGGCTCTGGCTGACGCCCCTTCCCCCTGCCCCGCAGGCGCAGCCCTCCAGCCAGTCGGCCTGCCTCGGGGCCCTCCTCTTCCTCTACACGGGCGACTTCTTCCTCCACATCCGCTTCCACGAGGACAGCACGAGCAAGGAGCTGCCGCCCTCCTGGTTCTGCCTGCCCAGTGTGCACGTGCGCGCCCTGGAGGGGCGGGCCTGAGCCGCCCACGGGACTGGGCCCACGGGGGCGGGGGCTGGCCTGTCACCCCGGTGGGGGCGAGCCTTCACTGTAGCTCCTGTCCGCCCCCAGCCCCGGCCCCCACGCTGTGTACCCCTTTTTCCGGCAGCATCCTTCCCCGGCCGTGCACATCGCCCCGGTGCAGCAGCCTCACCGCAGCCCACACTGCCCCCGGGGCCTGACGCCAGGGCGGGTGCTGACCAGACCCCAGGGGTGGCACCCACCCCGCTGGCCCCGGGTTGCTAGGACCCTGGGATGGGATGGCAGCCCGGCCAGGCGGCCTCGGGGCCCTGCAGCCTCTCAGGCAGGAGAGGCCGCGCTGTGCTTGACAACCACGGGCCGTCCCAGACCCTGGCTGGCTGTGTGTCCCTGACAAGGTCTCCAATAAAGGGCCTGCCCTGGCTCCCTGCTGGTTGCCTGCCTCCATTCTCCCGCTCGCCTGGGCTCAGGGACCGCCCCCCACTCAGGAGAGGGGCCCAGCCCACAGGGCTCCGGATGGGAACCCGCTCGACATGCTCCGCTGGTGGCCAGTGGGGCCAGGCCTGTGTTCATCTGCCCTGGGGCCGCACAGCCCTGTGCCCGTGCGTGTGCTCCCTGGGCCCCGGCCCCTCGGCGGCCCTGGGCAGCTCAGCCTCTGACGTCCTCTTCACCCTCGTGACAGCGGCCAGGCTCTGCAGGCCGGGCCCCGCCTCATAGGCGAGGCTCCCTGTGGTTTCGCAGGTGGCCTGCTGCCCCGAGGCACCCACTGGGAGGGCAGGCGAGGGCAAGGGTCCAGCCCAGCCTGGCGCAGGGCCGTGCTGCGCAGAGAAGGGGCCTTATTCCAACTGCACGGAGCTGCCGCCCGGCCTGTGGTGGCCGCTTCCTCTGCCTCCACCTCCGCAGGCCGCACCTCTCCCAGAGCCTGTCCTGGCAGGCCACCCTTCCTTTTCGCGCGCGCGGGAGGAAGGCACGGGGTCTTGGCCACACCCGGTGTCCTGGCGCAGGCTGGCCCTGGAAGGGTCTCCGTCCGAGGGTCCTACGGGAGCCCTGCAGCGGGGCTCTGGGCACAGGCCGCCGGTCTGGGAGGTGGGGGCCCTGGGGCAGTGAGGGAGCCGTGACGGGCAGCCGTCACAGTGACCCTGGCTCTGAAATCCCCAGGCATCCCCGGGGGAGAGGGAGGCCCCTCAGCCCAGGGGTGCGCGCGCTGGCCCGCGTGTCCTGCCACAGAGTCCTTCCTGCATGTCGGTCGCGCGCACACCAGCTGGGGGCCCCGGGACAGCGAAGCCCCAGGGAACCCCAGGGGCGGGGGCGTGGGCGTGGGGAGGGCGCTTGCCCAGGGCATTCGCTGAGGCAGTGAGAAGCGCGTGTGTGTCCCTGCCATGGAGCTCCTACATCCCTTGGAGTTTCCTGCCCACAGGAGCGTCTTTTGTTGTAAGGAGGTGGCCCCGGGTGGGTCAGGTGGGGAATGGCCACCAGACACATGCGGCATGAGTGGAAGCTGGGGACATTCGGCCCCACCCCATCCCCCGTGGACCGAGGTGAGGCCGACCCACATGGGGAACTTCCCACAAGCGCCCGGCCACGGGCCGCACAGGGCTTCCAGGCCGGTGAGTGGGCCCGTGCCTGCGGTGAGGCCCTGCCCCCACGGGGACAGAGGCTGCTGCGCCCGGCCGCCTGGCCCCCGCCGAGCTCCTCCCCGTCGCTGTCAGTGTGCCCGTCGTCAGCGCCCGGTGGCCAACGGGGAAACGTAAGTACAGTGCTGCTGAGCTCTGCGCTGCGGCCACAGGCCTGGGCAGCGGCCGCGGGCGCCCTGACGTCGAGCTGGCTGGTCAGGGGCGTGGGTGGCCTGGATGCGGGTGGGCGCCCGAGGGGCAGGTGGCCTGGCGGGGCTGAGCCTCGGCCGGCGGGGCCTGCGCCGACGTGGGGCGGTCAGCACGAGGGCCGTGCTGAGCTGTGGGACGCCCGGCTGGCGTCGGGGGGGCGGCTGCCCTGCTGCCCCACTTGCCCCTCAGTGCCCAGCGCGCGTTGTCGGCTGTCCATGGCGCAAGGCTCCCCAGGGAACCAGCAGGCGGCAGAGTGGGGACCCAGGAAAGGCACCTGCGTGTCCCCAGGCGGCCCTGGACTTGCGGTGGGAGGTCTCGTGTGCCGTGCCCAGTCAGCACGCCTGTTACAGCTGAGTCGCCCTGGGGGCTGCAGCCCATGAAAGCCTGCTCGTCACTGGCTCTCATCCAGAGACGCCTTCAGAAGGGGCCTCCACCATCCCCCGGCCACCGTGCTGGGGCTCTGGTGGTGCCAGGGCTGGCAAACAGAGTAGCGGAGAACAAGCCAGGGACCTGCTCGCCCTACAGCCCAGCCTGAGGAAGGAGCCTGTCGGTTGTGACCGGGCTGGACCGAATGCTGCGGTGCAAGTGGGTGGCCCGCTGCAGCCCTGCCAGCCAGGAACGATGGGGCTCAGCAAGGTCTTCCTGGAGGAGGCGGCGTGGGCGTGGGGGCTGGGTGGTGCGAGGATGGGGAGGGACCTCCAGGAGTGCGGGAGGCTGAGCGAGGGCCCCGAGGCGGGACAGTGGGCTCACGAGCCCTGAGGACACAGGTGGCCCCCCAGCAGTTCTTGGGCCCGTGCTGGGCTGGGGCGGGGCCAGTGACGGGGTGATGGCCTTGTGGGGGCACAGAGGAGGGGCCTGGCTCTGTTTGGGGCCCCAGGAGCTCCCCAGAGGGCGTGGCGGGGGAGCAGGCCTTCCCGGGACCCCCCAGGGGAGAACCTGGAGGAAGGGTGTTAGGGTAGGAGGAAAGGCATCTGCCCTGGCCTGGAGGCCCGGGGCGTCCCCAAGGGGAGATGCCTGTGGCCGATCGCTGCGGCAGGTGGCGCTGGTCCAGGGCCCCGAGAGGGCACAGGCTGCTGCCCACCTGCCACCTCCTGTCCTGGCACCCAGGCCACAGGGACCCGCGCGCTCCAGCCGCTCCGGCCTCGTCTTCTCCTGTCAGCAAGCCGGTGCCCTCCTCCGGGCCTCGACTCGCAGCTCCGCCCACAGGCCGCACGGGCTCCTCGTGTTCAGCGGCGCGCCTCAGTGCTGCCTGCGGGGCCTCCCCTGGCCGGTCCTCCCCAGAATGATCTGTCTGTGTGCTCACGTGCCGTGTGTGCTTGGCTGCAGCGTGAGCACCTGGGAAAGAGGCCGGCAGGCGAGGGCGCTGGGCGGGACCGGCCGAGAGCCGCCCTCAGCGTGGGTGCTCCCCAGGAGTGGGCCCTGCAGACTGTGCGGAGCGTGGGTCTTTGAACTTTGCTGGGCTGTGTGACCACGGGCTGGCCATGTGACCTCTCTGAGCCTCGATTGCCTGTAAATGGAGAGAGAAGCGCCTCCCGAGAGGGCTTGCTGAGGGTTGTATCCAAAGGGTCTGGGACTGCAGGCCGGTCCGGGAGCCCAGCGAACACTTGCCAAGTGAACACAGGGCGTAGCCATTCACTGGCTCGGTCCTGGCCTGCCACCTATGCATGAGACACGGACCCGGGCGACCTCACTGCGCCTTCCGGGGCCTCGGCGCCCTACTCTGTAAAGTGGGACCTGCCCCACGCAGCCTCCACGTCCACCGCTGTGGGAGCAGGGGAGATGGTTCGCTTTCAAGGGCCTTCTGGCCCCACAGTGCTCTGTGCAGTCCCGGCAGGAACTCCGAGGCAGGTGGGCCCTTTGCCGAGACACCTGCTCCTGGGCCCCCTGCCTTGGCCACCGCCCACTAGCGTGGCTCCCCCTCTGAACTGCGATGCAGCCATGCAAATGCAGTGAGCAGCACCCTGCATTACTGGTTCCCCGGGGCCCGCGGACCCCGCCACACCTCCAGCTCCTCACCGCCAGGCCTGGCTCTGGCACCTCCTGCACTTCATTGGGGGCGGGTGCACTTCCAACACACCTCCCCCAGGCCGGCCGGACCCAGGAGCCCCCTGGGCTCCGCGGTCCAGCTGGTGCATCCTGCCCGCCCCCACCCCTCTCCGGGGGCCTGTGGAGGCGAAGCCAGAAATAGCCTGTGTTCTTTTCACTTCCCCAGCTGAGCCCGGTGGCTTTGCCCTCCTGACATTCCTTCTGCTTGAGCAGGACAGGCCTGCAGTGGCCCCCAGTCACCCAGCCGTCACGCTCTGTCACCCAAAGTCCGCGCAGCAGAGCGAGGATCCAGGAAGCTGTCTGCGCAGCTGAACCGCAGCCTCGCCACTCGCCAGCCCTGTGACCCAGACAAGTCACATGTAGGAAGGCTTCTGTTGTTCATGGGGACAGACGGGGCTAAAAATACTTACCTCCCGGGCACTTTTACATTAGTGCTGTGACTTGATCTCAGTGTTCCCATGGACGACAGCAGGTTCACAGTAACACCGCTCCCTCTCCTCCCCTCCCCTCCCCAGGCCTTGCCGTTCTCCCGGCCACATGCCTGGAACTGTCCCTCCCCCGGGAAGCTTGCTGTACGCACCCGTTTCCCATTAGACCTGCGCAGGTTAACGGGCCAGGTGACGTGGAATAACGTGAGGCAGGTCCTCTTGCACAGTGGCTCTGATGGGAGGGGCTGCCCGTCGAAGATGAGCTCTGCGCGTCCAAGCCAGGCTGGGCTCGGGGACGGTTCCAAAAGGCGCAGCCACCAGACGGGGCCCCTGAGCAGCCCGGCTCCGAAGCCGCTGCCCTCCCCATGTCTCCAAGCCGGCCTGGCGCCGGTGAGCAGAGAAGAGGCGGACGTGCTTGGGGTCACCAGGGTCCTAGGCCTCTGAAACACGTCTTCAGGGATCAGGACAAATAATAAAGATCCAGAGAAGGTGTCAACGTGAAGGCCTGGGTGCAGACTAAGCCTCCTATCAAAGCAAACTCACAATGATGGTAATTACAGTAAAAATGCATTGTGAGTGCACCCACGGGCTGGCCGGACAGCACAAGTGGGCGGACACCAGAGGCTGGAGGCACGCGGAGGCCAGCTTGCCCTCCACAAGGCTTTGCCCACGTTGGGGGCATCGGCGCCCACTCTCACAGAACTGGAAAGAAGAGGGGGCCAGCCCCAGGGCCCACCTTGTGGGAATGCTGAGGAGAGGCGGCACCCCATTAACTTGGGAGCCCAAAGGATTCCCTTGAGTAAAGGGCGATCTGAAAACACCCCGGCCTCTACTCAGAGCGGGAATGAAATTGTCTTGTTTCAGCGCTTTGACTGCAGCCCACGTCGGCCCTGCTGTGACTCTGCAGCCCCAGGTCACACTCCCATGGCCCCCAAAACCTCGAGTCCTTC